ATTTCCCATGCGAATAGGACCAGGGCTGGGTTGTCAAAGCTGGGTTAAGATAACCCAGGATTAGTGTGAAATCTGATTTCAGATTTCTGAAAGCTTTAAAAGAAAATACAATCAAATTATTTTTGTCTAGAATATGATTACTGGATGCTTTAAAAAGGATCCAGAAAATTATCCTGCCAAAAAGGATTAAAATTTAACCTTGGGTAATTGCTAATCAGCCTTCAAACAACTGGGTCCTGGGCTGACACCGATGCTTGGCAACCAGACTCAAACGTTCCATATGAACAGCTAGAAGCCAAAATTTCTCTTGCTATGCTGAATCCAGTATGGTCATCAGGCTAATATTATGAGGCCATTTAACCCTATCACTCCCAAGATTTCAGTATCAATTGTCCTTACTGTCTCTCTTGCATTTCTTTAATCTAAGCTCTGAGAATTTGTTTTAGAATTAAAGAATATTCCCTTGCTGATTACTGTTTTATTTTTGCCATTGTTTGAAGATGATAGCATATTAAGATTTTTTGCAAAAATTACTTCTTAATCTCTCCTAGGGGTGAAAAAGTTAAAAATTCATAATTAAGTCAGACTATTTATTTCCATGATGTGATTATTTGATTGTTTTCCTAGGAATGATTCCCCTCTAAAAAAAGGAGTTATCTGATGTGGTTAATTTATTACCCTTTTTAATAACAATAAGGGAAAAACAGAGGAAGAAAAAGTGGCTATGTATTTTGATAAAACTGCACCCTAACCCTTTAACTCCCATGAGTGACCAAGGCAGAATTTCTCCTTACAATATCAATACAATACCAACCAGATAAGTGATGAGAATAAAGTAAAATATCAATTTTGGGATAATTAGTTGATCCAATACTAAATTCTCTGAACTAACATTATAAGAATTGTATGGTTAACAGTAAGGAGAATTAAAAATTGGATCTGGGAGTTAAAGGGTCAAGGATCTGATACTTCACCTCTGAAAACCCAGGATTTTTTTGTTACTCTAAAACCTAAAGAGCAAGAAAATATTTCAATAGAGGTAAATTTTAAATATTTCATACTGAGTTGTAATTTGTGACCCTGTTGACTTGCAAGAATCTTGAGATAAGACAGGTGATCAAAAGACCTACTGGTTTGATAAAGCAGTGTGAGGAGGATCCAAACCTAATGAGTTTATTACATTTATTTCCTTTTTCATATTCTCTATAAAAATTACCATTATAGGGCCACAAGTTTATTAGCTCCGGCTATTTCATGCTAACCCTCATAAAATATAGTCTTTACTTACTTACTTACTTAGTTACATGATGATGATAAATTATAAAGTACCACAACCACTTATTGCTTCGCCTCTATTTTGCATTTTGAGCCCAACATTGCAGAATTCATTTAGGAATGAACAATTGAATAGTATGGAACACTCTGATGCAGTATCTTGGAATATATTGGGCATGAGTTGTCAAGGGGATTATACTTCATGTAAGGGGTGCATGTATGACGAGATATGAAGTGCTTTTCGAAATCAACACAACTAGGGAGAATAAATTATACAAAATACAAAATTATCCATAACACACCAGTCAAAGTAAACTCCTAAACCCTCTCTTCATGGTGCTTGCACACACACCGCCCCACCCGGTTTGGAGATCGACAAGTCATTCCTCGATATGACGTCAGTACCAGTGAAGCCTCGCTTCCGTTCACTAACTGGCGCCATATTTGATTTGCTATAATGTTGCAATAGTGAAAACATCGACGCTGAACACATGGATAACGGAAAAATGCTAAATCAACTTGCTTCCCTGAATGGCTTAATTCTCGCCTTGACAGCAGTGATATTCAGAAAACACTCTTTCCCTCCTTTCCTAGAGAAAATGGACCTATTTCACCGGTAAGCTTTTAAATCAGGTACGTTCGAGTTGTTGTTGTCATTTTAAAATCGCTAACACACTTTTTGGCTTTAAAAGAATGACTAATAAATAAGTTTCTTTTATTCTCAGACGAAAAAATTTGGCTTTTGTTCTCCCTTGAAGACAGTGACAGTGTTCCTAGAAGAACGGGATAGATTTTGCGTGGAGATGATATAAAAGTTTAAAATTTTGAATTACAAATCTGCTAGGTTCATAAAATAAACCGTTCAAAGTGTTATATTCACTCAATCAAATATTTCGCGCACAGCACAAGTTGTAGAGGCATTATTCAGTAATCAGTTTAGTATCGACTTCAAAGTTTTGCTCGTCTTTTATCTAAAAAGATTGGTTATTTTAGAGCTACCTGTAAATCTTTCGTGCATTTGAAAACTTACATGTAGCGAATATTAAAGATTGGATTTTATATTTCATCTGAACTTACATTGAGAAGGTCTGTAATTGAGCCCTGTTTGTTCTAGTAACTAAAAAAAATAAACAAAAATAATAGATATCAAGGTCTCATAGACTACTATTCCTCAAATGTTCTTCGAGTTTTTTTTTCCCGTGTAGATGGGTCTCGAACTCATCTCGTATTCCGTTTTCATAACAATATACTAACAGAAGTTTTTGCTCGAGCTGGTAAAACAATAGCTACTTAAAACGTAGTTTATGTATAAACAAATGCTCCTTTTTGTGCTGGAAACAATATCAATTTAAAAGATGTCATGATTTCTGGTTGATTGCTCATCAACGTCACGATATTGTGATTGCAGTCTCAAGTAATGTGTTGCCATCTCGATGGTTATAAAGAATTTTACAACTTAAGAGATGCCGTAGTGTGTTGGAGCTTTTCTGCTGGCGCACAATATTCTAAAAAAATTTGTTCTAATTTTCAGCAAACTTCAAAAACCATGAGTTCTCGCTCAATTACGGAATGAGATGTTTTATGAGACATTAAGACTCTGCGTGATTCTCGCTTGGGTACCGATATCCGAAGGTAAGTTTTGTAGTTGTTATTTCGAAGTTAATTATATGAATGATATCCATGGAAAACTTAGGCAGGCTGATTCAGTTCGAGAGAATAAATGGAAGTTTCTATAGAGAGTGTGGTTCTATATCGGTGGGGTTATCACAGCATAATTTGGTTTTATCAACTGAGTTGATAACGTAAATTGTCCACCATGAGTTTCTGAAGCTGACGTTTCGAGCGTTAGCCCTTCGTCAGAGCGAAAGGCGAATGTTTATTGCGTAAATTCTCGTTATTTCTGTAAAAAATCCAAATGATCTCGATTCGAGAGAAATCGTACGCTCTGTCAAACATCCAAATTTTTCAATCACTTTCTGCATTACTAGGCGTCGAGTACATTTGTAGCAACATAGGATGCCAGCACGAAAACTATTAGAAACACGGAGATCCAAGCAAAAATAGAATTAATCTTCTCGATAAGCATCTTTTTTTTGCCTCAAACTTAGTGGGCATGAACTGTCTGGTTTTCCAAAGTTGACAAGTTTTGCAAATTTATTTGTGTTGATATTCATTACACATACGTATATAAAACAGGCCTTTTTGATTAAAGTGTTACTTCTCCCTATAAATCGATACATTATTTAGCAAACAGGCAATGAGAATACTCAAAGATATCACAGGTAGAAGTTACAAGGAAATGTGTAGCAGCAAGAAGGGAGAAATAAAAATCAGATCTTAAGAGCTAAAGCGCAGTTAGTGCATCGCGGGAAATGTAGATTAAACTTTTTGAAAAGGTAATTGCCATTGGCAATTCTTGCCAATCTTCTTGGTTAAAGTGTTCTTTTATACTCTTACAACTATGGCCCATTAACTCTCAACTCCCCGGACACAAGTATTCATAATCTCCATTCGATTCTCTATACGTTTCTTATGGTGCGGACAGGGAGAATTTATACGACAATCAATCAAGAGCTCATTTAGTTGGTGATCATTTTCTTTCCTCTCGTGACCCTAATGTTTGATTCAGGTTGTTAATAGAAATTAGATCAGAAGGTTTCATTGTTATTAACGACGATTGTCAGAAAGCCAATCACTAGGCAGAGTTCCTCATGATGGCGAATCTGAATTTTCTGCTCGCGAAATACTAGAGACAGTTGTGTCTAGCTTGTTAAAGTAAATTTTCATAGATAAACGAATGAGCTGGTAATCAATTTATAGTGGGTATGATTCCTTGATGTCATCCTGTTTTTATTAGCCTGGCTGCAAGGAAGAGTGACTCTGACACGTTTTAGGAATTTTTGTTGTTGTGCAAGGAACGCCCACCAGTTGTCTAAACCATAAAACACTTCCTGTAGGTAAGGATCCAACGTAAAAATTTGGTTGCCCCTCTTTAATTGAGAAAAGTATTAATGAAATAGCAGTGCGAATGACGATCGCAACATTTTTATATACGTATTGGGCCAAGTGAAATCTTATCCCGCATCAATGCATGTTAGTTGTGTTATATGTCGCACCAAAAAAGCATAATTGGTGTTCCAACACAGGTTTCTTGTTTCTTCCTCGTCTTAGTGCCGCGCCTGTGTTCAGTCTTGGTTCCTATAGCGATAATGTTGACGAAAACGTGCCCACAGACACCACCGTCAGCGGAATTACTCTGTCAGCGTCTGAAAGTGGTGGAGGCAGTGTTACTTACTCGATTATAAGTTCGGTGGGACCATTCAAACTGAGTGCAGATGGAACAAAAGTGCTCACTAATGGATTAGCTGTTAATTTTGTGGCACAGAACTCATACACTCTAACAGTTCAGGCTGAGTCCGCAGATAATTATAGAACAGTGTGATAACGTGAGTGAATCGGTGTCTCTAACTAGAGTAAGCCTGGTACTAGTTCGCAGTAAAAATAACGCGCGTTGATAATTACACCCTGCATGAAAAATGACACGCTCGGTCAAATTATGCGCTGCGTAAAAACTACCCTAGACATTTAAGCAACATTGCCTTCGTAAATTGAACTTGAAATCTTTACCTACGATTGCAAACTCATGCAGGTGAATTATTTCTTTATTACTTTATTTATTACGTGCAAAAGCACAACTGACACTCACTGCATCATGATTTCACTAAATGGTTTTATTGTTCAAAGGTCAGTCAAATCACTGTAGAACTTACTGATCAATTTTGAAAAACCGCTTTTACATGTGTCCGAGAAATCAATTCTGATCATGACCTGACGCTCTTCGTTCACAAGTGACAGTTCTTTTCAGGTCTTGTCTACCTGCTGTTCCATCTTACAGATGGAACAGCAATTGCAAGTGTAACTATTACGGTAAACGATGTCAACGAAGCTCCAAGCTTTACGCTGTCTTTGTACAGCAGTGAAATTTCAGAGAACAGCGCTCATGGAGTTGATATCATTACAATAACTGCTGTAGATCCTGATGGTGGCGATACGCTGACCTATAACCTCTCGGGCTCGGGTGAGTTAAAAAGTGGAGTTGGTTATATCGACGAAATAATATTAACACTAACGAAAACTACAGTTATGGTGCTCAACTTGTGGGACTAGTTGTCCTCTCGGTTACCACTGCCATACGGATGCATACCTTGTGGCAAGTTTATTGTAAATGAACAGTAGCCTTCATTTAACTTGAATATGCTGAGATATTTTCCCGCGGGCATCGTCTATTCCGATAAAAAGTGGAGTTTTCCAATTTCAGCTGAGACACGTGGTGACATTAGAAGTTAAACCAATCACACAAAAGCAAAAAAATCTGATAGATTAAATGCTAAAAGGATCAACAGTGAGGACTAATCTTTCCTTTCGTTGCTAAGGTTCGTCGCTGTTCAATGCGCTGAGCAATGGAATCATAGAGGTGGCTGGAAGCCTTGATTTCGAGACAACACCTAGTTATTCCTTGACCCTGACAGCAACAGACTCGGGCTCTCTAACTGACACGACAGCAGTTGTCATCACAGTCGGGGATGTTAACGTGAGTCCCTCATCTGTTGGTGCGCCATATTCTTCTATCGTTCCAGAGAATGACGCTGCAGCCAGCGTGGTGACTGTAGCCGCTACTGACCCAGACTTAGGTAAGTTTAACGATAAAAATTCTTGTTTCCACAGTAGTCACAGCGTAGCTCGCTAAAAGAATGTTCAGGGTCTCGAAATTACTTCTGGAGTTGGGTTCTGGTGTTGTTAACATGGAGGTACACTTGATTTGCTTTATGAAGGTTTCACCTCATTGCAATTTTGCCCTAACATTTCTCCCCCCTAAAGACGAGTTCGCTCCATCAACTTTAACAAGTTCGCCCCTTCCCCCTAAATTAGTTCGCCCCCAAATCTTCGACTCGATAACATGGCACATTGTGACTTTCTATCATTTTCTGTCATATTTAACATCAGTTGATTCAGACCTTCAGACTGTTTACGAAAGTTTCTCTGACAGCTTATTTTTATTTACTTTGCAGGAGATTCCATCACATTTTCCTTATCTGGCGCCAAAAGCTCTGACTTTACCATCCACCCTACAAGTGGAGTTGTCACCCTCAACAACGCTTTGAACTACGAATCGCTCAACCTCTATTCACTCACTGTAACGGCGTCGGATGATAACAGTTATGGCAACGGAAGTGTGACGTCAACATTTTTAACCGTTACGGTGACCAATCGGAATGACGTACCAGTCTCTCTCAGCAATTCTTACTCGGCGACAATTGCAGAGGACGAACCTGGTGGAACAAATGTGTTGAAAACCGGCGCTTCCGACGAAGACGGACACGGAATCTTGTTTAGCTTGTCGGGAAGTTCTGATTTTGATATTCTCAACACGGGAATGATTCGTATTAAGACGGGAGTCACTTTAGATTACGAGACACAAGATATTTATAACTTGACTGTGGAGTTTTCCGATGGTACAGCGAGTATTTCCAAGTTTGTATCCATCACTGTGCTTGACAGAAACGACGCCCCGACACTTCCGAGTTCTCCATACTCCACGAACGTTTCCGAAGAAGTACCGATCGGCACGAGTGTCTTCGTCGCCAGCGCAAGTGACCAAGATGAGGATTCGTTGGTGTATTCGTTGTCCGGAGCTGGTGTGACGCATTTTACTATTGACTCTAATATGGGAATTGTAACGACCTTTCAGGCATTGAACTTCTAAGATACCATTTCTTATTTTATGACTGGTGAGTATAGATGATTTCCAAGAAAGTTCTGTTTGTATCCAAAAAGAGATTTTCTACCTCAAGAGCGGGACTGATTCATTAAACGATCGCGATGTAAACCAGCGAATTATGAAATATATCTTTCCCCTTTGTGAATATATGTTATGTCTTTAAAAATTTGCTTAAACACCATGGTTGTGATCATAAATGAATGCTCAAAAGTGTTTTACTCACTGTTCGTCTGCTGTTCTGCCAGGCACTGTCCTCGTCAGTCGATGAGGTTGGACCTGTTGACGAAGACTGGCAGTGTAAGAGAAGAAACGCTGCGCTTCTCGATTAATGGCTCGACTTTGTAACTAATAATGACTGTTGATTTGCCATTCTTTTTTTAGCTTTACCAAACAAGTGCTACGCTTCTTAAAATCCTTGGCTTACTGGTTCTGACAATTAGAATGTTCGCATATGCGCAGACGTTTGACTGCTGTACTATCCTGGATTAGCTGACCACTCGCCTCGATTCCATGAGAAGGCCTCGTTTCCATGTGGCAATTATGTAAGTAGAAAGTAATTTGAGGTCGTAAAATCCAAGGTGACAACGGTTAGCAAATAAAAGTCTTCCATACCCTCTTCTTTTGGCGGCGCCGTGAGATGCTAAAAAAGTTACAACCAACTTAAGCTCTCAAAGATACCGTGAGTAAATGTTGGGCCTATTTCCCACAAGCCCGGCTCGTTTTATTTATTTATTTTTTCAATTGTTGTCTGGGAGAATTCGCAATTCCACCGGAACATTAGTGAAGTCTTTAAGGGTATCTTTTCAGACCGTCATAGTTAATTTTTTCTTTACTCTGTGGAAATATCGCACGAAGGGAGAAAGTGAATAGTCGCAATCTTATAATCAATACCGATCCTGTGTGTTCTGATGGTTTTATGAAACAGAATTCCTGTTTCGGTTCCCCTCTTTTTTCAAACCCTTTTTTACGATAAGCACAAATAGAAAATAGTACTCAGAGATAGGTGGATGTACTGTATGCAAAATATTCGTCGAAAAACTTGCAGGGATAATAGGAAACCACTGACTGATCTAAAGACGATAAAAAATCGCAAAGTTTCCATTATTCCATATTGTACAATTACAATTGTAGTGGTTACAACTGTAGTAGAACACCGATTTCTCGAGCTCACGGTATCTCGAAACTTTCAATAATTTCAACCATAATAGTCTTATCGATATTTATGACTCATTTGTCAACCTTACCTCGTGAATCACGATTTTGTACTTTTTAACAAGAAAAATTCAAGATTCTTTCTAATTTAACCGCAATGATTCATGATTCTTTCCCCCGAAAACTGGCCCCCCTCGCTCATAATTGTATGTAAATCTGATTCAAACCAATTTCCTTTTTCCCAGAATATTGATCCCAGAGTCTATAACCTGTTGAATGCCCGATGGCAAGACATGATGTGGTGCATGCCTTATCAAGAGTTTAAAATTCCCTGTGATAACCCAAAACATTAATTAAATACTAACAATATGGTAAACTCGAGGACTGAGACACCTCTTTATCTCAAATCTTTAAGTGAAGCAGACCAAGGAGGGGGCTGTCGTTTGAAAGATCTTTTCTTGTGGTTTCCGTGAAACTCAGTTCTACCTGCTTTTAATTAATTTCCTTGAGAGCTTGTCAATCAAATGCTTTCCACAAGCCAGGTGGTGGTCACCGAAAAGAAAACTACTCTAGAAAAAGGTCGATGAATTTTTTATTGGAATGAATACAAAAGATCAAATATTCGAAAATATGTCAAATAAAATTCAAATTATGAGGGACGGTTTATAACCTAATTTTCCTTCATAATCTTGTTGACGCCATGATACAAATACCTCATTATGATTTGCTTAAAACGAAACAATGGTTAGAAACCCCAAGGAAAGCCTTTAAGAGGGGCCATAAAAAAATCAAAAGGAATTACTGAGTGTATCATGACACTGAAATTTGTTTAGAGACCCTAAGTCTAAAAAGTCATGTTTATTGAAGCAACGACAATGTGAGATTGTAAATGTAAACGCAACGACGCCCAAAAAGCGATCTTTGTGTGTTTAAAAACGCCTATTCAGACGGTGGGAGTTATTATTCTTTGTTTCTTTGTTCTTTTTCTACTTTTATCGTCACACTTTTAGTGATTTGAAAGTATTTTGCTACCTGACTTTGAAATACTAACACAAACAATTTGTGACCCTTCACGGGATTTCAGAATAAGGTGAAGCACGCACACGGTACACTCGCACGCTAAAACAAAAGAACGAGCTTTTAACAAGTTAGCTACGTGTAAGTTATTTGCCTCATTAACTTCGCAGCCATTGTCTTTCTTCGCACGGTAGAAACAAAGGAACGTGTTAAGATCTTGTTTGCAACTTTGCACGATATAACACGGTGATCGTGCCAATTTTATAACACTCCTCTTAAAGTTAAAGTTGCTTTCGATTTGTACGAGAAATACGTTCTAAGCTTTAAGGCTTTTCAGCTCACCGATACGCCCGGCTGAAATACGACACTCAATATCCAGTGCAATTAATTCACATAATGGAATATCTCGAATTGTTGTCCATCATTTAAAACTGTATTTGAGTTTTTTCTTCATTTTCGAATTCCTCATTTTCTTAAAAAAGCTTGCAAAACACGGGCCGAACGAGAAAAGTTCTCTGCTCTTGAAATCGCGCATGAGCTTTTGAAGGTAGCAAGCTCAAGCTTTTTAAAATAATAGGAGCGAACCTTTATGATGCAAAGCAAATGCATGGCTACTTCATAAAGGGTAAACTGTGTTCTCACCGTGTTTGTCTGTTCTGCTAGTCTCCGAGGTATTTGTTATTTATACTGTTAAATTTGTCCGTGTGGTGCAGTGTGGTGCAGTGGTAGCGTCATCTTTTTTTTTCTTTATACGAACGGGGTTTACAAAATAATTAA